TTATTAATGTTAAAATAAAGTCGACGTCGGACGTTTCGGTCTATTTAAGACCATCTTCATGGACATTTTCATTTAAACATAATTAACATTATAACTTATAACAATTTAACACAAAAGACGATGGACATAAGAGCCCAACTAATTCAAACAGATCTGTATTTTTCTTTCATATATATATATATATATATATCTAAATTATATAATGTAACATATATATATAAATTATTATAATGTAACTTAAAGTGTTCTGTTTTTTCTTTAATATATATATATATATATAAGTATATTAAAGAAAAACAGAACACTTTAAGGTTACATTATAATAATTTATTTCACCAGAATCCTTTTAAAGGACGCCGGATCATCAGAGAGCATTTCTAAAAGATGAAACGAAAAATGAAATGAAAATTGATGGGTATTGTAAGTTTTTGTGATTTAACAAAGAGCGTAATAAGGAGTGGTTAGAGAGACATGGTAGAGTTTAGAGAGGGTTTAATTTAATATTTCTCTCAATCATACTTAGTATTGGGGGAGGAGGAGGGACCAGACCATGACCTATTCAAACGGTTAACTTAACGGAAGTGATATATTGAAATGGGAGGCGAGAAGAGAGAAAAGAAAAGGAAAAGAATGAAGGTGGAAGTAAAGAGAAAGAGGCTGTAAATAGGACTACCCATACGGATTACTACATTTTTCTTAAAATATATATATATATATATATATATATATATATATATATATATATATATATATATATATATATATATATATAAATATAGATAACTAGACTCGTTTCGAAAACCCTCGAATTTTTGATTTGCTAATCAAATCAATCTCGAGGGAAAAAAAGGTTTTAAAAAAAGAAAGAGCTACAAACATGAACTTCTGCCGACAAAAAAATCGCACAGATGCAGGTCTGAAGCCCAAAGAAAAAACCCCGATACGAGTAACAACTAACTAACAAAAGAGCTAAATACAACCGTAGAGCAGACCGAGATACACCTAGTGAGCCAGACAAACCTACCTAGGTTTCACCTAAACGGATCGTCAGGGAAAGTTTAACTAGGCAAAGAGAAACACATATTTATAGGTGATAACGAAAATCATACCACATATCATATCATATCATATATATCCCGATTTGGAAGAGGAAGAGTCCTTTATCTCTCTCTCTCTCTCTCTCTCTCTCCAGTCTCCCCAATGAGATGTGATGTGGCATAAGGTTCGATTTATGTGGGGAAACCGAGCGAATACGCCAGTACCAGTGCCCAACATTGCCCAGCGCTGCAAACGTCGATGGCGCTGGCATCGGTATGACTACTAATCCATCCTTTCTTTTTGAAATTAGGAGGGGTCCAGATGCGAGCAGCTGTTTCCCAGGACCTGGCAACTCTCAGTATTTTGTTTTTCTCAGCTGCATCTCTATCCACGGAGAGAGGGGCGCAAGTAAGACATGTTAAACCCTACCTGGCATATGCCAGCTAAGTATTTTTAATTGTGTCTATGAAATGTATTGAATGAATTCAGGGTAAATAATCATTATATACATTTTTACGTGTGCATTTCCCTATGAAAATGTGCTGGGAAATTAGGCATTAAAGTTTTATATATAAAAAAAAAACGCCATTTAAAATTAAAAGAATTAATAAAATTTATATAATTTCTTTTGTTAATACTGATCATGCTTGTACTATTGTCTAATATGGTTTAATGACCTGCAGCAATGACCTTGGCGCACATCAATATCTGATCTAGAAACGGCCCGGACATTTTAAAATAAGGAAAATGGAAATGCTAGCCTGGGATTCATAATCCAGACACGGCCATAAAAGCGGCATATGTTAGAGTCTATGTATGGAAGGCAGAGGAAACGAGACCAGACGGAAATTCCGAAGCGGAAACGCGTCTTCCCCAATGCTCCCAAAAGGTGTCAGCTTTGTCTTTAATTTGGAATTGCTAGTTAACAAGATTTCTCCAGTTTAGCCCAATAACTTCCGTTGAGAATTGAAATGCATTAACGTGTTAAATAAACGTTAAAGAAAATGTTTAGGTTCTCAAATGTGTTGAGGTTCAAACGGGTTTAAGAATTTTCACACTAAGATTCAGCGAATGAAAGCCACGAAAGCGAATAGTACAGGGTTAGTGATTTCGGTTTGTGAGGTAAACGTATGAGAAGATAAGAGGAAGTAAAGATTATGGGGATATGAATGATAGATAACATTTGACTCTTAACCAGTGATGGCTAAGCTTTTATTGTTCAGGAAAGTAACCATATCACAGACTTTTTTTCCATAAAATCGCAGCTTTTCAGATAAAAAGAAGGGGAGCGAAAGTTCCTTCCTAAATAATGGAATATGGGAGGAATGTGAGTGATTTAATGCCGTGGACGTGGCCTGGTGTAAAGGTCTGAAATAGTGGAATTTGTGAAATAAGGAAGTAATACATTACAATGCTGGAGGGCAGTAATTGTCTTTCCAATCGTTTCACTCCGGGCATGGCGATAATATATATATATATATATATATATTATAATAAAAAGAAAGAACAGTAAGATATATAATCTGGTATTCTTATTGATATTTTTTTTTTTTACGAAACAGTGGTCAATGTAAATTTACAGAGCATAAATATTATAAATTAACTGATTTAATAAATATTATAAATTAACCGATAATATATTTTAAATCAGTTTCTTTATAATATATTTAATATATATATTTTAAATCAGTTAATTTATAATATATATATCTATATATATATATATATATATATATATATATTATAAATTAAATTTATATATATATATATATATATATATATATATATATATATATATATATATATATATATATATATATATATATATATATTATAAATTAACTGATTTAAAAAATATATATATATATATATCTTTTGAAGGCGTCATCCATGGAGGACATATCGTGTATATTTATGGGCAAATAAGATTGGAGGTGTTACTATCTGAGGGCAGAATCTGTATGTTTCCGTGGAAATAATATACGGGGTGTTAACTTTCATAGCAGCCTTCTGTATATATATATATATATATATATATATATATATATATATGTGTGTGTGTGTGTGTGTGTGTGTGTGTGTGTAGAAAATCGAAAAACAGTTTAATTTTTAATTCTCGAACTAACAAAAGATACGATAATGCTTAATAAATGGTAAAAATAAAGTATAAATTCAATATTCGGGTGATTTTTACAAAAGAATGTCAAATTTTAATAACAATTAAAAAAGTTCAAGTACAAAATCTCAGATATTTAAAAAAAAAAAAAACAGAAAAATTGAAATAATCTTTTTCGACGGTGCGTGTAATAAACAAAGTCAATATTAATGTTTTTTGATTCACGCTTTTGATTTCCATAATTCATTTAGACATTCTGTTATTCTTTTCAGATGTACATTTCATGCATCTTTGTCTATGCGTTTCGTTGAAAAATTGACGAAAAAAAAAAACATTCTAAATACATTTTTCTTATGTATTTCCACGTATTCAATAACGATATCATTTTCACTCTTCTCTCGTTCCATTGATTTTCATTTGCCCTTCTTGTTTCAAAAAAAATATCTTCATTCAGATCTAAATGTATAATTCCAGATATTTGAATGAATCTCTCTGTTAATCCCGGAAATACTGAACATTTTCTTTCAATTATTATTATATTTTGGTGCCAATTTTTTATCAGTTTATATTCAATGCAAACACTTCACATACGTGCGTATACATACATGGTTATCGTGTTTATGCTGGCCTTACAATCTTGGCTACGGAATCGTAGATTAGATTTACATAAATCATACAGAATGATACTAGAATTTACTTGTCCCCATGTAGAATGAGGAAGCTTATATTTCTTGGACGCATAATGAGTATAGAGGGTTTGGAGCACTTGACACTGAGAGGACATATCGAGGACAACAGAGATATGTGGAAAGAAGAGGGTCGCATACACGAAGAATGTGTGTGAATGGTTAACGGAACGAGATCTGGTGCGGACCGTGCCCAGGGCTACAAGGGTTGTGGAGAGCCATGATCAACCATATCCTGAAGAGACACGATACAAAGAAGAAGAAGAAGAAGAAGAAGAAGAATGTCTCTTGGTGGAAACAATTGGATAGTTGCGTATTTCTCGTGAGAAGCAAGTACAGTAATTTAAATATCTGACGAGGATTGTAGCAGAATACGGTAAAGGAAAAACCAAAATCAGATGGCGCATTGAAATAATGAAAGATGCCTTCTAAAAGCTAAGTACAGTAATAGGAAAGAAGAAAATCTTATTAGAAACGAGGAAATGATAACTGAACTGTTTTAAAAAAAATATATATATATATATATATATATATATATATATATATATATCGATTTTTTAAAACAGTTCAGTTATCATTTCCTCGTTTGATGAGTAAACAGTAGACCCCCGGTGACTCTCTGAACTCGTCCAATACTATAAATAGTTCCATAATATGAGGTTAGTGCTTGGCGCATCGAAGTCAGTTCCTGGCTCGCGATAAGACAAAACCTCTATATCAGGGCAGAGAGTGACTCAGTCGAGGCTCTGTCTTTGGATAGAGACACGCTGAACAGACAAGTAATGTACCCGATCCTGCTTTCGCAGGGACTGGGTAAATATTGACGGATTTCCCTACAATAATCCCGACCTTGTATCACAGCACATCTCAGTAGGGGAAACTGAGAAGCTACCAGTTATATTGGAGTCTGTATTCATACTAATTATACAGGCGTTATGACAATAGCCTAAACATTACGTATAGAGAATACTTAAGAAATTACGTTATACCAAGTAAGTAAACCACTGCTAGCGGTGGAATAGTTATACACCATATTATTCCTACTTACGATAGTGTCCAATGTATTTATGAGGATTGGGATATACCCATTAGTGTTCATAGATACGATATATAACACATTCTTTCTCTGTTTTTTTCTTTCTTGCTTTCTTTTCATATCCATGTTCTATTTTCATTTTTTCTTTCTTTCTTTCTTTCTTTCTTTCTTTCTTTCTTTCTTTCTTTCTTTCTTTCTTTCTTTCTTTCTTTTGTAACCTCGAAAGGGTTACTGAATGAGGAATAACCAAAACGGAGATTGGAACTGAAATGGTAATCTTCATAACATCAACAAAATAAAATACTCGCTAGCGGCGTGAAGTAGGTAAACCACTGCTGGTGGTGGACTACATAGACAGCATATTACCCCCACTTACAATAGTGTCCAATGTATTTATAAGGATTGGCACATACCCATTAGTGTTCACAGGTAAGGTACATAACACTTTCTTTCTTTCTTTCTTTCTTTCTTTCTTTAGTAACCGATAAAGGGTTACTGAATGAGGAATAACTAAAACAGAGTTAGGAAATGAAATAATAATTTTTATAACATCAACAAAATACAATACTCGCCAGCGGCGTGAAGTAGGTAAACCACCGCTTGTGGTTGACTACTTACACAGCTTATTCCTCCCCCTTACAATAGTGTCCAACGTATTTATGAAGATTGGGACATACTCATTAGTGTTCTTCTTCTTCTCCTTATTCTTCTTCTTATCATTATCTATTGTAACCTAGAAAAAGGTTACTGAATGAGGAATGAACAAAACGAAGGTTGGAAATAAAATTGTAATCTTTATAGCATCAACAAAATACAATACTCGCCAACGGCCTGAAGTAGGTAAACCACTGCTGGTGGTGGACTACTTAGACAGCATAGTAATTTTCCAAGCGTAACTTAGATGTGGCACAAGACCGAAAGCAGGGTGTACCCAGTGAAGATCGAACTCACTACTCAGTCGTAATTATTCTAGCGAGACAAGCTTTCTAACAATTACACCACCTTGAGGTGCCCCATACTTAGACAGCATATTCCTCCTCCTTACAATAGTGTTCAAAGTATTTATGAGGATTGGGACATACCCATTAGTGTTCATTTGTACGGTATATAACATTAAGTTGCTCGCTGTTTCTCTCAGCTCCTCTTAGTTTCTATATGCTGTGTGTCGAATTCTCCAAGCCTTCTTTCCTCATTATCTGATCGAGGAATTTCATTTTTTCTGATTCTAAGTATAATTTTCATTTTGTTTCTCCTTTTTCAAAGTGCCGCGTTAATTCCAGACATAGGCAATCATGGCTCTCCACAACTTCCTATATCGTATGGCCCTTAGCAGTCTTCCCCCATTCACACATGCTCGTCAAGTAACTGACTCGCTGTATTCTGCTATCTCTCTCTTGCCCTCAGCATTTGTTCTTTCTCTTGTTCTTGTAACGGCATTAACTCGAGGTGGGTTGAGCCGGCTCCAATATTGGAGTTTCATGGGAATTTGCAATTTACAAGCGGTCCCCAACCCGCATGTATAGCACATGATATTTGATTATAGTGGTGAAGGTTTCATGCAGGACCATCTACACTTTTTGAAGGGCCGATTACAGAGACCTAGTGCACTACGTGTCACAAGGTCCCCAAACGACCCTCGGCAGGTTTTGAATTCAGAGTTTTCCTTCTCCTAGACCAGTTGCCATCCAAGGCTATAGAACCAAGTCTGTCCTGCTATTTACCCATAGCTGGAGGGAGAAGAAGAGGATTCACACCTTTCCCAAGGGTATTAGCAGGTAAGCGAATGTAATGGATTCGACTGGAATTCGAACTCGGCTCTCCGATTCCTCAGTCCAAGCCGCTATCCATTACTCCACCGTGCCTCAGCATTTGCCGTGAGGATTAAGTTTTTCAAGCTCTATGTTTTCATTATGTGTCCAAAGAATTTCAGCTGTCTTTTTCCTGATTTTTCTCTTGCAATTTTCTTTAAGCCTGCCTTGTCTTTTAGTCGCTCCCACCTCCATGTATGTTTCAGTATCCTTCCGTAGAACCCCGCCCCTAAGTTTTTCCTCATCTGTGGGGCAACTGTCCAGCATTCTCTGCCATATAAGAAGTTAGTCATAGCTATCCAGCACTCATTTCTTCGATTCTATCTTCCCTAAAACTTTCTCGTTACACATTTATTCAATATTGTAAACATCCTTCTGTAGGGCCAGCCTTCTTCTGTGTAAATTCTCTTCTTAATCTCTGAAGAGGTTGTCCAGAAGAAAACTGAGTTAAAAGAAAGGTGGCCCTACTGAAAGATGCTGACAATACTGAACAAATGCGTTTAAAACAAATCCATCGTTTACATAAGAATGAAAATTGATAAGAATATTTAGTATTTAAATATGGAAATTTCCGATAACCTGAATGGGAATTTGACATGCCCCTCTTGGAATGTTTCCTACAAATTATTGAAAATACTCATTAGTTATTTTTCACATGTTAAAGAAAGAAAAAAACAATCTTCAATAATACAGCGTATAGCAGAAAAAACTCACACTTATCCCTACCCAGCCAGAAATACCTTAGTGCAACCTATTCCTGGGTGGTACTTTTGTTGCACCGTGTATATTTTATATAATATACAGAGTGCAATGGATAAATTGCACCCTGTATTTACGCAAAAATAAAAATAACACTCACATTTCATTTTAACAGATATATTTACCAAAAGGTCACATGGCACAGTCGATAAAGGCGTTGGTTAGATCCAGTGACAGGAGAGTTGTCAGTTCAATACGTGGTTAAGGCAGTTGAGAACTTAGAGAGATGAATTAGCAGGAGATAACTGATACCTGATATCCATTAGACATGGCACGTGGAACAAAACAGTCTACCCCAGCGAGCGAAATAAAGGGTTCATTTCGACATTCCAAACACCTGAAGAATGCCGCAGCGTACAACGCGCGAAACTTTGTGATAATTATGGGGACAAAGATAAGGACAATAGTCCGAATAATGAAAATACTGTACATAATACCTCATCTCAGAAATATAGACAGATACTGAATAAAATCCCCATTGACTTCAACCATGGCCTCCAGACGACTTTGGAATCTCCTGCATCTCAGTTAGACGGTCTCCTTGTTTAATGTGGTGTATGCTGCCATAATATTTGACTTCAGTTCATCTTTTGGTCTCTTTGTTCAATTCAACTGCGTGCCACATATATAATCAAGGGGGTTGAAGGTGGTCAGATGTAAGGAATGATGTGCTCGCAGAAAATTGTCGTACAGACGTGTCTGGGTTCTACTGCTTATGTGGCATCGTGCAAAGTCCTGCTGCCATGAGTTCTTCCACCCTCTTAACCTTGGCCAGTACTACCACCTCAAGGCATTTGACCTAGACCTCCATGTTGAATCTGAGGCCCCCACCAACAAATTCATGTGTTCTTTTCTTATCAGAAAGATCAGAGTGAGCTTTCCGAGCTGGCTTACCTTCGTAATCACCATTAGACTCATCCAATTTTTTCCGAATCCCCTGCACTGTCCTCAGATTAACACCGAGACACTTTGAAATATTCGTATTGGCGGTTGTGGCGCAAATGTCAAGCAGTACAGCATGCCATTTCCAAATTTCTGACGGAGTTAATGGTGTTGTACTCTTTTTCACACAGACGGTGTCCAACTGAACCTGCTATATTGTGTAGTAGACAAAATCAAAAATAAGCAATGCGCATGCGCGAAATTAAAAATATAACATGGCGACAATTTACCCATTGCATCATGTACATGGGGCAGCTGAAATACCCCCAGTCGGTCTTTAAAATTGTCATGGTTAATATTGAATAATGTAATACCAGAACTTTTAGACAGTTTGTTAACGCTATATGAGTTATGTAATACGGAAACGTATTTTAAGAATAACATTGAATTCCCCAGGCAAAAGTACTGCCATTTAAGAGGATGGAAAAGATAGATTCATACATTTCGTTGTGGTTTGCTCGTAAATATAAGCAAGAAACCCAACAGGAATTCGAACTCGGCTCTTCAGTTTCTCATTCAGAGTAGATATCCAATACGCCACTCTCACATTCGACGTTGTTATGAATTATCATGCAGAAAGATTGCATTTTTAGGCGATTTTCGTGCTTAAAAAGACGGATCTTTAAAATATGTTTACGGTTTGATTTTTAAAATGTCAAGGCTTGTAGACGAAACGTTTTAGGCCATGATTATCTTTTATTGTACTAATTCGTTAATAGGAAATTCGACGTGTAATGGTTAGCGAGCTTGTCTTGCTAGATCATTTATAACTGTGTAATGAACTCGATCCTCAGTGAGTGCTCCATAATTTAGTCCTTGAGCCACATCTAAACAACATTAAATAAATCGCTATACTAATTTGTTATTTGCTTAAAGTGCCAATGTTTTCGGAGATTTTTATGGTTAAAAGTTACTTCTTTTATATGTTGTAATATTTCATAGTTCGCCTTGTGATGTGAATGACTCAAATAGAAATTTGTCTGTTGGGGTGGTGTATAGCTGATCGGAATTGAATCGGAGAGCAGATTTCCACTGACAAACACGCAAATAATCTTTGGAAAGGTACGAATCTGCCTATGGGTTAAATACTTGTACTTGTGTCTGGAAGAATCAGTGATATTATTCTTGTTTTTTTTCACCAGCAAGAAACAAAGAATTAACACTACATATATGTTTTTGACTTTAAATAACCTACAAAGGGTTGATAAGCCATAAAAAACAAGAGCAACAAAAAATAACAAATCAAGACCAAACGAAAATCCACCTGTCCAGCGATCAAAACCAATTTCAATTTCCGGTAAGACAGCGGACATTTTAAAATCTGTTTGTTTTAGCAAAGGCCGTGTACTTGTTCTATAAGAAAGAGCAGGGAACAAAAAAATTGAAATTGGCTTGTCCCTCTCGGTCACTCTCTCTTTCTTTTCTCTCTTTCTTTTCATTTTCTCTTTCCCTCACACTCTCTTTCTTTCTCTCCATCTTTATTTTCCTCTCTCACTCTCTCTCTATTTCTGTTTATCTTTCTTTCTTTTTCCTTTGTTTTGACATCTCTCCTTCTCTCTCTCCTTTTCTGTCTCTCTTTCTTTCTCTTCATCTCTCTTTTCTTCTCTCTCTCTCTCTTTGTCTCCCTTTCTTTACATTTTTATCTTTTCCTCTCTTTTTTCTTTCTTTCTCTTCATCTTTCTTTCTCTTTAGATTTCAATTTTATTTCTCTGTTTCTTTTTTTTTTTTTCTTTTCTTTCTTTCTTTCTTTCTTTCTTTTTCCCCTCTCTGTGTCTCCCTTTCTCTTTCTCTTTTCTTCTCTCTCTATCTTTCTGTCTCACTTTCTTTCCATTTTTCTTTTTCTTCTTACTCTCTTTCTTTCTATTCATCTTTCTTTCTCTTCAGCTTTTTTTCTCCCTCTGTTTCTGTTTATCTCTCTCTCTCTTTCTTTTGCCTCCTCTCCGTTTCTCGCTTTCTTTTTCCCCATCTTTCTTTTTCCCCATCTATCTTTTTTCCTTTCTTTCTTTCTTTCTTTCTTTCTTTTTTTCTTTCTTTCTTTCTTTCTTTCTTTCTTTCTTTATCACCCTCTTTCTCATTCTCTTTCTCTCCATCTTTTTATTTCCCCATCACTCTCTTTCTCTTTCTCTCCATCTTTCTAACCCCTGTGTCTCACTCTCTGGAAAGCACTAACTGAAGCGTATTTGGCGTTGTCATTCGCTTGGAGATTGTCAGAAAGCAGGTGCTGTCTTCCTCTTGCCAAATCACGTTTTCATGTGTTTATTCTTCCGAATTGTAACCCTCACCGTACGAGCCATGGCCGCTGGACAAATCCAAGGACGAAATATGGAAACAGAGATAGAAAGAAAAATAAAATATTAAACGAAAAGAACTGCCCTTGAATAGAGTTAAACAAAAAAAATATCGCCTCATTATCAATCCCTGATTCCCAAAAGAACTGCAGTGTTTTTACAGAAAGCATTCCCCAAAGGTAAGCAAATAAAGAAGTGCTATTTTAAGTTCATGTCTGTTTGATGCTTATGATTGAATAAAATTAAAAAAAACAAAAAAAAAAAAAAAACAAAAACAAAAAACAACATATTAAAGGAAATAATTATAAAAAAAAATTATATTATTCCAAAAAATCCGAATTATTTATATTAAATATTGGACACCGGCAATATTTTTCCTGAATATAATGCTATGTAAAATATTACAATACAGTTCCATAACAGAATAATGTATACCCAATAAAACCTTTAGAAATGTGTTTATATGTTAATATTAATAGTAGCCGTTTCTTGATAAGAAAACATTCATTACTTATTGAAGTAGCCAGTGTTACGTTCGGTTGAATTTAAAAAAAACAACAAAACCTTCTATGAGTAGGTTTCTCTAGCCCACTAACTGCTATAGCTGTTTCTTGTATTAATGGGGGCTTCTTTCCTAACCTTTTGTTTTCACTCTGTTCGTATCTATCTATCTATCTATCTATCTATCTATCTATCTATCTATCTATCTATCTATTTCAATCTGTTCATTTCTTTCTTTCTTTCTTTCTTTCTTTCTATCTATCTATTCAATCTGTTCATATCTATCTTTCTATCTATCTATCTATCTATCTATCTATCTATCTATTTCAACCTGTTCATTTCTATTATCTATCTATCTATTTCAATCTGTTCTATCTATCTATCTATCTATCTATCTATCTATCTATCTATCTATCTATCTATTTCAATCTGTTCTATCTCAATCTATTTCAATCTATCTATCTATCTATTTCAACCGGTTCATTTCTTTTCTATCTATCTATCTATCTATCTATCTATCTATCTATCTATCTATCTATCTAGTTCAATCTGTTCATATCTATCTATCTATCTATCTATCTATCTTTTCATCTAGTTCAATCTGTTTATATCTATCTATCAATCTATTCCAATCTGTTCATATCTATCTATCTATCTATCTATCTATCTATCTATCTATCTATTTATCTATCTATCTATGTCAAAATCTACTAATGAACAAAATCATGGTTATTTTACCTTCAGTGTGTCTTGTGACAATTAACGGTTCCTAACCTTACAAAATGTCCCAATGTCTTAATTTTTAGAGACGTTTTCTCTTTGTCGTTGACAGTGATATTCCTCCGAAAAATTAGATGCAAAAAAAAAAAAATTCTGTCAATAATCTTGAATTATTTCGATTTATTGTGACCATATTTGTTGGTATAGATATTATTATAGACATTTATGATGGTGTTCAGTGGGTACTTGGTCGAGACGTTGTGCCTATAATAATGTCCGTTTGAACCAATATGTAAATAATATTTCGAAATAATACAAGCATACTGACAGTTACTCATATCAAAAATGAAATACTAAATTATGAAATATATGAAGCTACCATCATAAAAAATATTAAAAAAAAACAATTGACATTGAATATAAAAGGCTCCAAAGATACAGTATTAATCTGATGAGGGTGGCGTGGTAGGTATAGGAGTTGGTTATACAGGCGTTAAGTCATTTAGTGTCCACAAGATCAATACTTGGATCTGAACCAATTCAGATGCAATGAAAAATAACTTGTATCGCAGGGAGAAAATAACACAGTAATCAACACATATCCTATACCAGTCAATCAATTGATACCTGATGATGACTAGAGGGTATTTGGTCGAAAGACTGTGGCTATAAAAAACATCTAGATTAATCAAGACGAGGAAAAATATTTATACACGCACACACACGCACGCAAATATATATATATATATATATATATATATATATATATATATATATATATATATATATATATGTGTGTGTGTGTGTGGTGCAGTGCAATTTATATTACATGAATCATTCATGCAAAAAGTAGATTAGTAAAGTTAATGATATAACTGTCGAAAAACATCCTCGCAAACAATTTTTTAAAGTTACATTATATATATATATATATATATATATATATGGAGAGATGAAGATATAATGTAGTGAGGGAAAGAAAGAGAATTAGTGCATATATATCTAGTAAAGATATATTTGCACATATCTCAGTCTGTTCATATCTATCTATGTACCAGGCACACACAAATACAAGCACTCTTGTATATATATATATATATATATATATATATATATATATATATATGTATGTATGTATGTATGTCTATGTATATATTTTATGTTTATTTTATTTTATATGCAGTACTTAGTGAAAAACGCTCAATATCAGAGATAGAGCTAACATATTTAGTTGCATGGATATGAGTTTGTGACCCTGTGTTTCACGCTTTTGTGATCATCAGACAAACTCCAATGATCGCAAAAAGCGTGAAACCCACGGTCACAAACTCATATCCACACAACTGACCCTCTCTCTCTCTCTCTCTCTCTCTCTCTCTCTCTCTCTCTCTATCTATCTATCTATCTATCTATCTATCTATCTATCTAGAGAGAGAGAGAGAGAGAGAGAGTGAGAAAGAAGAGCAGTGCAACAAATATATCTAATAAAAATATATTTGCACATATCTCGGTCTTTTCACATTTTTATTTTTTTTGCACACACACACACACACACATATAAGTGAACATTGAAGACAGTATGTCGCCTCTGAGTGTTGACTTCAATGTTCACTTTTATATTTACACACACTCTATCTTGATATTGAGCACTTTATCACATAAATATAGTACACCTTAAGACTATATTTCTTCGGAGAGAGGGTAGATGCAAAAAGTATTTTACCAAAGTTAACCTTTAATGGTTGACATTTGCATATCGATTTCTTTTGTCTTTTGATATAACAATTATTTTATAACATTGATACGCGATCTCTGAGTATAATCCATTTTAAGCGGCCATACAAACTGGTGTCTTCGTACGATGGGTTAACTTTTTCACCAAATGCAATTGTCAAGACCATTTCTTTAGTGGATACCACAATTCAATTGTCACAGAATCCGTATGGAGACTATCATAAAAGAATCCTCAGGGCATTTGATGTCTCTTCTAAAATTCTAAACGCATTTATCAATCACGAAGACGCCAATTAACTTATTCATTACCAAACAAGACATTATTTAACAAATACTCTCGTCAGTTTATTCAAAATCAGTCATAACATTACACAATTATCTCGGTGCAACTGAGGTGTGATAGATTATGCTTTTGAAAACGACAGACTTCAAAACTAAGAATGATAGCCAGACGTCGCGGCCATATTTAATTTCGTTTGTCAATGGCTTCCCAATAGTTATTTGATTGTGGCGTTGTTTTTATTATTTGATCAGGTGATAATGATATTTTTTCGAACCCACCATCTCACCATTCACAATTTTGTAACGGATTAATGATGGTCGATTGAAAATGTGTCTCAGGAGGCACTAATTATTTGTTTTGACTTGTGGTTATGTTCCGGTCTATTTTTACACATATTCACGCATGCGCACATGGAAAGAACCAACGAAAAACGATTAAGTAACGTTTTACCGCTGCTGTTTAATTTCGATTATATCGCTATCCATTTCTATATGACTGATCTTTTCATGTTTTAATTGTAAATCGAAAACATAGCATTTTCATGCGTAACATCAAATATCAATTATAACATACTAATTTTGGTAATGGTTATTGTAAATATGGCCGTTAACTTTTAAATAAACATTCCGCATTCATTGACCAAACAGCTATTGTTATTGTCGATTGATATCCTCCTAGTACAATAAACGCTATTTCAGGGAATGTGTTGCTCAAGTCCATTAAGGCTATTGCACTTTCTAGCATAGATACCGGCTTTTTTATTAACCATTTGTCTGGAGTAGTGCGGGACGCCAAAACCATGATTATGCTATTATTTACTCTTTGAGTTACATGAGCTATACATTTGAATTGTTGTCGCTGATAAGTATCAGATTCGCAAAGACCTGTTTCTTCATTATGAGCCCCGGAAAATTTCACCTGCCTTTTTCTGATGCTAAATATAAATGTCTTTTTTGCTTCCATTTTCTCTAAAACTTCGTCGTTGCTCACATGTTCAATCCGTAGTATTCTCAGCATCCTTCTGTAGAAATTTATTACTTTCGCCTCAAGATACAGAGATGGTCCAGCATTTATGACCATATACGAATACTAATATTACACAAAACTTTAGTATTCTTTTCATTGTTTCTAATAGAAATATCCCGTTTCTTAATAAATTGCTTAGATTTTGAAAGGCATCTTTCTTTAGATTTCGCAGTTACATTTGCTGTTCTTTATATAAAAAGTTCCTGCACATTTAAATTCATGCATTCGTTTAATTTTGGTAATTCAAATTTCTAATTCGCATGTTGGGCATTTTCTTTTGCTGAAAACCATACATTGTTTTCTTGTAACTGATGTTTAATCCAAGACTTACCTTAACTCTTCACTGAGTCAGGTTGAATACCCAAGGTCGGTTTTTAACGTTGGGACCAGAGTGGAGACACACTGGCTGCTGGTTTAAGCTGGTCATAGCTTTTCTAAGCTAATCATAGCCGGTGAAACCACCGCTACGGAACAGATGTTACGCAACGTCGTGGGGGACGCAAGGGAGAAGAGTGAGCGTCCGACACGGAACAGATACTACAGCCGCAGCATCTACTCCGACGGGAAAAGAACCCTTCTTCTCTATTGCCAATCCCTCCAACAAAATCCTGTAGGAAAGCCGTCAACTTATGTTTAATCGTTTCTCCTCATTTTTCTTTATTAAATTCAGTATTTGACTTTCTATGTCTTCTCTCAGTGCTGTGACATCTGCATATCTTATGTTGTTAAGTTTGTGGCCGCCAATAATAAATCCTACTCGGATCTCGAATTCTCTCAATTACTCCTACGTTAAACGACCTTGTGTCACATCCTGACCCCGTGGGAGTCAATTAAATATAGATCTCGAATTCTCTCAAGATTACTTCACTGTTAAAGTTAAATACGTCCGCTGAGAAGACACATACGCCTCATTAATTTTGCGTCCTGGGTATGACGATAAACAACATCCGCGTCTTGGGTAAGACGATAAACTACATCCGCCTCCTGTGTATGACGATAAACTATATCCACGTCCTGGGTATGGCGATAAACTACATCCGCGTCCTGGGTATGACGATAAACTATATCCATGGCGATCCGTCCTGGGTATGACGATAAACTATATCCATCCTGGGTATGGCGTCCATCCGGGTATGACGATAAACTATATCCACGTCCTGGGTATGGCGATAAACTACATCCGCGTCCTGGGTATGACGATAAACTATATCCACGTCCTGGGTATGGCGATAAACTACATCCGCGTCCTGGGTATGACGATAAACTATATCCACGTCCTGGGTATGGCGATAAACTACATCCGCCTCCTGTGTATGACGATAAACTATATCCACGTCCTGGGTATGGCGATAAACTACATCAGCGTCCTGGGTATGACGATAAACTACATCCGCGTCCTGGGTAAGACGATAAACTACGTCCAACAGCACCCCCAAACCCAGATCTTTCCTGGGTAAGACGATAAACTGCATCCGCGTCCTCGGTATGACGACAAACTACATCCGCGTCCTGGGTAAGACGATAAACTACATCCGCCTTCATGGTATGATGATAAACTACGTCTATGTCCTGGGTAAGACGATAAACTACATCCACGTCCTTGGTATGGCGATAAACTACATCCGCGTCCTCGGTATGACGATAAACTACATCCGCGTCCTGGGTAAGACGATAAACTACGTCCAACAGCAGGGCCTCTGATAATACGTTTTTGAAAAAATATTACTAGATATACGTTATTTTTATTTTTTTTTTTTTTGTTGAATGAATAGTGTTGCCGGTTATACGTTTTTGATAAATGATATTACCACCTGTACGTTTTATGAAAAAATAATATTACCAGCTATACTTTTTTGAAAAAATAATATTACAAGCGATACATTTTTGAAAAATAATATTACCAGCTATACATTTTTGAGGAAAAAAACTATTAACAGAAATAGATCTTTGACAAAACAAAAATATTACAAAAAAAAAAAAAAAAGAAAAAAGTTGTCGGCATAAAATAACCCATTGAGATTGATATGCCGTAAAACAAAATAAAGCAAACTCATTAATTCTTTGTATTTACTGAATTCATTTTCTATCTGCTGCTGAATAAAGCCCTAAAGGAATATGGTTTCTGTTTGTTGGTTTAGTTCTTTGTAGTTCTATAGCGTCAGTCCACAATGTTCAAATTAGGATATTCTTCGCCAATACTCTCAACAATTAATCTGAGAAAACGGTTGTTACAGCCGACAATTTAGATATTTCTGAATGGCTTTGGTACCATGCACAACATTAATATGAAAGACTCGATCTGCCGATGTTATTTAAGATCATGACTAGGGTATTCTGTTTCATATTATGATTTTGTACCAATTTTCAATGTTTGAGGAAATTTTCCCCAGGGCAGCGTATTTTATATTCAATCGGCCCTTACTTATTTTCTCTCTATCTCTGTCACTCTTCATTTGCTTTCCAGAATTTCTTTCTTTCAAGACCCAATATCGATTAATCTGTGTTTCTCATATCGATCATAGTATTGGCAATATGTTTATCAATCCCCGACACGCTATGATTACTAAAGTTCTAATTGGACATTATCATTTTCTGTTAATGTAACAACCGTTTTGCTGTTCAAACTTTGCTTGTTTGTCATTTATGTATTCGAAGAACAGTTCTTTCTTATTCTATATATTTTTTTTCTCGAAATCACATTGTTTGTCCAATAAGGAAAATATTAAGCCAAATATTAACTCCTCTTGTTTAGCAGAAACGTTGGCACCGAATTACATCAAACAAGTTATCCAAGAAAAGGAAAATTTAATTTCTTCGTTTCAATAGAATTTATTTCGCTAATATGGAAAATTGCTTTCGCTTAGCAACATGTATCGTCTTTTAAAAAATAATAAGGTCACATAATGAGGAAAGAAGGTTTTAAAAAATGACACTTATAGGGCATATTAAAAGGAATGAAGGGCAGAGGAAAGCAGCGCTTAACTTATCTAACGAGTTGGTGTAAATGGATGACAAAACAGAGAATAGGAGAGATGTTCAAAAGAAAAACTATTCTAACAGCTACAAATAAGAAATTATGGATAGCCATGATTGAAAACGCCCTGAACGAGCATGACACATAGAAAAAGATTTTGAAGAAGAATATGCCCAGTCTAAAGGATGGAAATGTCGCCGGTTGCTATCCGTTGAAGACCAACGTGTTCTTTTGCCGCTTTTTGCTCACTGCAAATCCATTCTCTTTTTAAAGAACACTCTCTGACTTCTACAAAGAACAAAATATTTGGTTCCAGTAACTTAACCAGATACAGATTAGATTTAACGAAGTAGTGGCTTGTTTATTCCAACCAAGGTTTTCCTGTAGTAGCGAAATATTAGGATCGACTTTCCAAGTTTTCTTTTTTTCTCAAGAAA